GCCATTGAAGCATCCTGGAGCGGTGAATGATCAGCTCATCAATGCTGGAATCCCCTGGAGCACAGTATCTTGTTTGTTTGGACTGCTTGAGGCCAGTGTGTCTCCCTCATGTGATGTGATGTGGGCTAATGAGAGGATTAACGATCCATAATGTTATTGTTGGCCCTAAGCTACCTGTTGGAATTAATTTCACTACTTTGGGACTGTATGTGGTTGTGTGGGGGACGATGCAGCGACCACTAGTTGGATTTACCGACCTTGGTCTACTTGAAAGGGAGTGATATTTCCACTACTTGGTGGGACTTAATAGTAAGTTTAAAAAAAACACATGTTGCATGTCTGTTAATGTGTTGTTTTTGTAATGTTAGAGAGAATTGTTGTAAGGCTGGAGAAGTTACTACGTCTGCATTATGCCAGTTAAAATATGGGACTTCTCAATTACCTTTCTTTAGAGTGTAACAAATCTCTTTCCATGAGTACATATACCGTTGTTTACCTATCTATGGAGGAGAAATTCAAATTAATGTCGTTGATGTTCGTTGTGCTGTTCACTTTGACAGTTTGGTTTGATTGATAGGTGTGACATTCAAAACAGTAGCATGGACAATGAGGTCTAATAACAGTAACAATAATGAAGTAAAAAGCAGCTTGTTATATTTCTAGGAGATTGTGGGAATGTGCATGGCCTCAGCCTCAGGTGTCTGATTTAAGTTAAAAGAGGTTAGAAATGGATTCCAAGTGTCAGTGAAGGTTGGTATATTATGGGGATATGTATCAGTGCCGAATGTTGTATGCACAAGCAAATGGGTTGGTTCGGAAATTTGGTTCCTGCTCGGATGGAGTAAAATTGACTTTGTTTAGAGCGTACTGTACCTCCCTGTACACTTCTCATCTATGGTCTAATTATAAAAAAGGCAGTCTTAGGAAACTGACAGTGGCCTGTAATGACGCCTTGAGGTTATTATTGAAAAAGCCTAGATGGATGAGTGCCAGTGAATTGTTTGTGTCATCTCCGATCAGTACACTATCTGCTGTTTTAAGGAATTTGATGTATAACAGAAGTGGTTATCCAAAGCATTCTGGAAACAACATTATTTTATTGCTGACTAATATTGCATATAATGACATGTGATATACTTCAGTACACTGGTATACCTGCCTTTAATAGGGTAGCTGTTTATTGGTTGTTCTTGTTGTTGTCTTTTTATTGTTATTTATTGCTGATTGTTCTATGGTTTTATTGTTTTTTTAGTATTTATACATCTGGACCTTGAGTCTGTAATAAAGTATCTATCTATCTATTATTCTTATGAGTAGATGATATTTTCTCTAGTGTGATATATTCTATGAGAAGGCTGGTCCAGTGGTTGATGTGAAATGAATTTTTAGATTTCCAGTTTAGAAAGATTGTTTTCTTGGCAATAGTTAGTGAGATAAGAAGTGGGTTTTTATATTTAATTGGAGGTGGTTGACTTCTGTGACATTATCGAGCAGGCAGAGTGATGGAGATGGGGGAATTCTACAGCTCAAGATGGTGGGGAGTTTCTCTGTCACCGCTACCCAAAGGGAGTAAACAGGTTGGCAGGTCCAAGTAGGCTCTTGGGTTTTCTTCCTCTTCTTTCGGGTGGTCCCATTAGGGGTTCGCCACAGCAAATCATCTGTTTCCACCTAACTCTATCCTCGGCATCCTCTATTGTCACATTGTCATAACTTCATGTCCTCTTTTCAGCACATCCATATATCTCCTCTTTGGCCTTCCTCTTGACCTCTTGCCTGGCAGCTCCATCTCCAACATCCTTCTACCAATAT